TGCGCTCTCCTTTTCCAGCAAATCATTCATAAGCCCACGTCCATGTAACTCATGAGTTCTCCGGAGCATTTACTTCTTTGGCTTGCCTCCTTCAGCTTTGTCTGTAATTGCCTGGAACATGCCACCGGTGAGACGTAGCCTCCCGCGCCGTCTATCGTAGTGTGGCCTGTGCCATGGTGCCTTTCTGCACGGATGTCAATTATACCCGAGAAAACTCCCATCAAGGGGTTTGTTGAGCAGTAAATGTATGTTTTCTTTTAGGCAGACATTCCCATTTGATATTCTGCAATCTTTTCAAATCCCAAGTATTCTGCTTTTTATTTGTTTCATCATTTGCAACGGGACAGGAGTGTTTCCTGCAGGGGCAACAATAATACACACCATATTGGCCCCCCCCCTTAATGGTTTTAATTTTTATCTGTTTGTTTTCGCCTTATATTTCTCATTTGGTTTATTAGATAGTGACAGTCAAGAGGAGCAGAGAAGGAGCTGAAAAAGGAGACATGAATGAAACAAACGGTCCCATTTTAAAAACCCAGGATGTCACAGTAATGTGTGATTTGCGTCTACACCAACTGATCACGAATACAACTCCCAATTTTGTGTGCTTGCTGGAGAACCCACCAGCTACAAATGCAAAAGAATCTAAATTATCCAGCTTTGCATTGCTAAAGCCGAAGTATTCCTTTTCTGCCCTGGAGCGCCATACCAGTTTCTCCCATCATTTTGTTTGCCAGAGAAAAGTGCGAGGGTGGGTAAGACTTGCTCCGCCTTCCCACGCACACAGACACACACACACACACACAACACGCCACATGCACGCTCTCCCCCTTAAACACCTGGCCCGCATAGGTCTGAGAAAGAAAAACCAGCCCGCCAAAATGAACCTGCCATGTTTTTGCATGAAGCCGCTCTGAACTGAGCATTTCTACAGAATGTAATGAGCCACAAATCAAGGGAGGAGTTATGTTGGAGAATCTTCCCTCTGCTGCTCCCAAGAACCGAGTTTGTGTATGTTGCGCTCCATAAACAACACAGACAGATATGGTTTGTTAAATCTTGGCTGAGCTCAGCTTAATTTTAAGTCTCTCTTTGGCCACCTCACACACACCACCCAGACATAAAATTGGAGCAAAACATTTATCTCACCTCTCCACGAGTATAAAGCCATTCTAGAGTAACCAATTCTTCAAAGGCTAATCAAATATAAAGATTATTATGCAAAATCAATCAAGGACATCCTTTTATTTGGCTACCTTAATGTTGACATTTTACCACCTCATTAACAACACTGGCTATTATTAAATATGATGCAAAAAAAATAATTAAAACAGCTGGAGTTTTTTACCAGAGAAATCATAACTGTATGTTTTTTCGAGCATAATGTCCCACCATGGAAGGCAATTTTACAGACACAACAGGAAAGCTCAGGTGTAAATACTAAAAAATGTGCGGAGTCCAATTCAATCTGGCTGATAACCATATAATTCAACCATTTTGCTGTTCAAGTCTTACACTTATAATAAAAATGGTTGTCATTATAAATTTCTTAGTACAATAAATCTCTGCGTATTGTGAATTATTCTTACTGCTTGGTCTAGGAATTCTCATCATCAACGTCTATATGGGCGTTTCTTCAACTAGTGGTGCGTATCAGACGAGTGGGAAAGTTGGAAGCATTGGAGGAAAATATA